TGCAAATATGCGCCTAGAAAAATTGAATCACTTACTGGTATTGTGCAATAACGCACAATTTACGTAGTCACACCGCACGAAAGTCGTAGTAGCGATTTATCACGTAAAGCAGTTCGCACGTTGAAAGTGATACCCAACAATCGTTAACACAGGGACGTATTGCATGGTGCGTCGGGTATGAGGGGCCTTGAATACGTTCAAGATACCCTTTTCGATGGATGCGTATTGAAACATCCAAAGTTCATAGTGCTCAATAATCTGAATGTTCAAAATCGCAGGCATCCAGCGTTCATAAGCATCCAGCAATTGGGAAATGTCCGTAGGCAGGGGAAAATCACAACATCCAAGCTCGCAACATCCGAAATTGCATCATCCAAAGGTTATGACGTCCAAAGGTTGGAAAACAGTGCCAATCAAAGCCAATCAAGTGGACATCGTGGCCGCTGCATAGTGTGAGCGTCGGATGTTATGACTTTGGACGCTGCGAGCTTGGGTGGCATGAAATCCGCCAATGAGCCCGGAAGTTGGATGCATTTTGGATGTTGTGATGTCATGTTATGTTATGAATTGTCATGTTTGATGTTATGTTATGAACGCTGGATGTTTCGATTTCGGGTGATATGATCACTGCACGCTACGATCTTAAACGTTTTGATGGTTTTATGCTCCCCCCCCCCCCCACACACACAACCCCAAAACAGATTCTTCCTGAATTTGTCCCAATTTCTTCTCAAAGTTTGGGCTGGCGTTCCCTTCCAGTTCGGCCATGTGTCTGATGTGCAATAGAGGATCGGCTGGCTGACGGCGTAACAACTAGCGGGCTCCTGCGCACTGAGCCTAATGTACAAGGTGATGGTGCACGGCGAGTCATGATGACCTCATGATGACCGCATGTTTAGTCCATCACATGTGACTCGGGGATTGAGAATCACCGCAACAGTGGACCGCCCCACGACGTTAATACACGTATGCATACATCATGTAGCAATGTCTCACTCACGACTGATCTGATATAGCTTCCCATCGTTGCGTGATATGTTTGAAATTGGAATAAATGTCGAACCACTCGTGATCTTCGAGCGTCTGTCAGTGGTAAGCGACGACATCTTGTTTCGGGGTTGTTACAAATGGGCCTAAATGGGAGTCCGACACCTAAATAGAAGTCTTGTCTCGCAGCATGATGTACTATAACATGGCTACCAGTCCTGTAATTGTAACGGAACTATCAAATTCCGTGTGAGACACGTGGCGTTTGTCATTTCTATCCCGTTGTCCATCTCTAGTCATTGCTTGCTCGGCATACACGGCTTTCTGTCTGGATCCAAGACGAGCGATCTAAAACTGGAGAGCCACGATCATTCGTACCCTAACGGCAACACTGGACACTGAACAACGTGTCAGAAATAGCCCCGAGGGCTGCTGACCTCATAGGCCCTGAGCGTGTCGGTGGCCTCTGACCGTTTCGATGTTTGCTTGTGTTCTGACACTTCTTGGTTACCTGGTGGTGGGGAACACAACGGCATTTTGTCATCCTTCGACCGACCCGAGGATTCTAACCAATCACCTCGGTGCCTTCCACCCATCGCTTTGCGTCCATTGATATAAACTGACCGCTTCTAAAAAAGACTGACCCGTACTATATGCTATTTCATGCAGTGAAATGAAATGCTACTGCGTTGTCTAAAAAATATGCGCTTTTTACTGCGGTCGCATCAATCAATGCCCAGCGATCCAGCAAACTGCTGGCGTGCGCACGTCACTCGAAGTTGACATAAGGGTTAGCTCAAGGCAGGGCCGGATCTACGATTTTCGTTAGGGGGGGGGGGGGGGAGTCACGCAAAATTAGGATCCCATAGAGGGTAGGGCCCTTCCCAAAAAATAATCGCACTTTGGTCGCTAAATTTTAACATTCTTGGCATGTTATTTTTATGTGAGACGACAAATGTGGTGGGCCCCTGAAGCGATCGGGAGTGGCTTGACAGGCTGACATATAGGGCCCCGGCCAGAGCACAGGGACCTCTGAGCAAAGGTGCATTACCCAACACTCAGCAGCTACACAAGACCAAGACAATTATCCAAGCGCGTGAATTAATGCCCCTGTACGATCACGAGCACCCAGGTAGGTTAACAGAAAGGGCCCCGATAGGAGTGAAGGGTCCTCCGCAAACGAGATCAAAGGAAAGAGCCCTAGTGGTGAGTAGTAGTAGTAGTAGTAGTAGTAGTGAGCATCGAGTGGCTTGATATCTTACCTTGCGTGGGTCCCATCAACAGGACGAGGCCCCCAGAGCGATTGAGGAGAACTCAAGACTAATATGGAGGGCCCTGAGCAACTGAATGTTCCCGTCATATGCCGCCCCTCCCCCCCCCCCCCCCCCCCCCCAGCGTATGGCGCCCCGGCTAAAGCACATAGAGCCTTTCGGACCAATGGAAAGAATCCGTGGAGGGCCCCTGATCGACCAAGGGATGTTACCAGAAAGTGCCCCAACAGCAGCGTAGTACACAACAAGATAATGCAAAGAGATCAAGTGCAATGTAGGAGGCTCCTCAGCGATTGGATTGACCCGACAAGTAGACATATAGGGCCCTAGTAGCAGCGTAACGCCTCTGGACAGGGTAATGACCCCCTCAATGTCGTCCAATCCCCACCGTCTCATTCGGCGAAGAATTAATGTCCGGTCACGGGCTCTTTACTTTTGCTTGCAACTGTTCTTGATCGTCTAGAGGCCCAGAGACGCTCAATTTTGTTGTGTTTTTTGTTAGAAAACTGCGTCCGTTCGGCCGGCCATGAACCCCTTCGAAGCCTATGGGTCCCCTCGCGTTACAAGGGGGGGGGGACGTGGTTCTTTACACCTATAGCTCTCTGGATCCGCCACTGGCTCGAGCAGCTTAATGAATGGTGCCTAGGCAAGAACATAGGGCTATGAACTCAAATAAGATATACTCTAGGCACAATATGGAGGTCCCAGGAATGATCGAGTGTGCTCGAGCACGTTAACAGATGGGGCTCCCGACAAGAGCATAGGACTCTTCATTCAAATGAGCAATAACCACGACACATGTGGAGGGTCCCCGAACGATCGAGTTTACCCGAGCAGGTTGGCAGATAGCGGCCCCCGACAGGTGCGTGGAGCCCTCTATTGAAATAGGAAGCGCGCAAAACTCAATGTAGATGGCCCACAATCGATGAGTGTGCCCGAGCGTGTTTTCAGAAGGGACCCCGACAGGGATGTGATGCCATCTATTCAAATAAAAAGCATCCAAGGCCTATGGGTGGAAGGTCCCTAAAATATGGAAGATAATCTAACAGGCCACCAGATGGCCCCTGGCAGAAGCGTAAGGCCCCACATTCAAATGCCAAGACCTAATGTGCAAGGCCCCGAACAATCCAGTGCGTCTGAGGACGTGAACAGATGGGGCCCCAACGCGCGTAGGGCCCTCCACTCAAATAGAAAGTTCCCAAGACGCCATATGGAGGGTTCCGGAGCGATCGAATGTGTCCTAGCAGGTTAGCGGATGGGGCCCCGACAAGACCGTGAGGCCATAAACAAGTGACAGAGAATCGAAACGGCCCTAGACCAGTGAAGAGGGCCCATAAGCATATCGTGAGTGTGTCGGTAGGTCAACCGAGACCAACGTGAAGGGCCCCTGAGCAAACGAGAATACCCCGACAGGTTAACATATGGGGCGCTGGGCTGTACCGCATAGAGCCTTTCGGGGGAATGAAAAGAATCCATGGAAGGCCCCTGACCGACAAGAGCACCCCGAAGCGCTAGCAGGAGGGACCCCAGCACCAGCGCAGGGCCCGCTGGGCAAATGCAAAGGAATCAAAAGGCAACGTAGAAGGCTCCTTACCGATCGGATTGACCCTGCCAGTGGACAGATAGGTCCCCCGGAGACAGCGTAGGGCCTCAGGACAGCGTAAGTAGTCTTAAGACCTGCCAATAACTACGCTCTCAATCAGGAAAAATAACTTGTGTCTACTCGTGGACTCTTTACTCTCGCTTGCGACTGTACCTAGTCGCGTGTAAGCCCAAAGGCGTCGAATTTTGTTGCGTTTTGTGTAAAAAGACCACGTCTTCTCGGCCGCCTACGGAGTTCTTTGGAGTCGATGGGCCATTCAGGGCACAAAGATGGCATGACCCAGAACCTCCCTGGATCCGCGCCTGGGTCACGGGCACATTTGATGCTTACGCAATTTGTGTAGATCTGATGCTTATCCAGAAGCTAAAAATGTCTTGGGCATTCGCCAATTAGGATGTCAAGATCAGCGAGTATCCCTTTTTTGTTCGCGTAACGTGTGTGGACTCCGACAACGCTTGTGGTGGTTTGTGGTTTAAGGGCGCGTCATCACAGAGGTCATTTTGCGTCCATGGTGACTGGAGGCGAGGGGGATCCAGCCGACTGTGATCCGGCCGACGATGACCTTGACAACTCTCCACAGCGGAAACACTATAAACTCTGTTTTACACTTATATCTACTTGCATTCGGTACACCATGTGTGACCTGGTGTTGCAGCAGCACGCGTTACTTCACGCCGCCCAGACAGCCTCTGCTGACATTGAATCCAACATCGAAATTGGGGGCAGCAAGTGCCAAATAACGCGACAGCTATAAAACAGCAAGCCTTGGGGTGAAGGAACCTGTTTTGAAAGTATGGAGGAGTAGCAGTACGTTGTGGCCTGATTCAGGCTGTGCCAGACCCAGGTTAGGTCCGCCGGCCCCGGGGCCCGGCGGCCAGGGCTGCCCGGGTGACCGCTGAAGCGGCGCTGGCCGGCGGAGGCCGTGGCGGTGGCGTGACTATTCAGCCGTGGGCGGAGGCCGCGGGCGGCCGGCCGGCGCAGGGCTGTCTGCGGCGCCCCAGCGGCGCGCGCGCGCGCGCCCGCCCGGCCGGCGGCCCCGCTAGCTGGCACAGCGCGGCCCCGGGCGGCCAGAGCGGCGCGCGCGGGCAGAGCGCGGGCGACGCCGCAGGCGGTGGCGGCTGGCGCGGCCGCCCGGGCCGCCCGCCAGTGTAGGCCTGGCTCCGCCTGCGAGCAGCACGGCTGCTGTGACGATCCATGTGCCATAAGGCCGGTCCGCAGCTCCCGCCAAGCTAGGTGAGTGAAATGGCTCAGACGAGGGAGGAGGATCCCTGTTGGCAAGAGGGGCTCCAGGTGCTTGGACATTGGTCAAAAGCTTACCAGTCCTCTTGTAAAAAGGAGGCCGCATTGTTGACCTACCAAACGATGGTGCTGGATTTCCACTTGCCTTGCCACCGACCATATCTCCTCGTCCCTGTCTTGGTCATGGACTGACGGCGTTAGCGAACTACGACCTCTTGCCATTGTGCTTACGGCGATCACCGCTGCTCTACTGACCTGTTTGCTCTGTAGGACAAAGCAAACCCCAACTTCAGGTTATACAGATTTATTTTGCCACGCTCTAACAAGTCTAGACAGATCATGAGCCATAGCTGTAGTCCAAGAAAACAAATCACGCCTGTCAAGATGTGTTTTACGTCCCAGCTAGTCTGCGTGCCCAGCTGTGCGTGCTCATGCTGTTAACAAGAACTGACTCGCTGACGCGCAGTAAATAGACAAGTTTTTCTGGTGTAGGTCAGACAACGCGACATACGCTAATGCGATTCTCGAAATTCTTCGACACGATAACCGCATTCAAAGTTTCCCAACATCTTGAAGCGAAAATGTGCAATACAATATATTCGTTTTCAGTAACATAAGTGTGAAATCAGAAGAGTATCTCGATCCCCTCAGAATATTCATGTCTTCAGAATAGGTGCCAGACTGCTTCACAGTCAGCTGGTGGGGCGACCCTGAGGTGTGGACGACCCTCTGGTCTCCGCCCAGGGAGAATGCATTGTCCTCCGTACATGCTACTTACCATGCTTCCGCTCCCGGCATTTCATGTCTGGTCAGCTCTGCTTTTGTTACGGATAATTTTGCAAAGGTGCGACTAACGCATTTTTAAACACGTTCGCCATCTGCTCAGAAGCCCTCAGTGGATTGCTGCAGTGCCTTCTTGTTCCTTGATACATCGATTAGGCCTAGAATACTAGACACCCTAGTGATTTGTAGAGAAAGTGATTGTTTATAACGCTAGCTTGCGCCCGTTTCCTTAGAAACCGCTGCTGCCCGGACTTTTCACATCGTTTTGACTTTTCGATCCATGTCTTTTGTGGCGCTTAATTCAAGTTGATTTATCTTACAGGATGCAGGTGGAACGAATGATCACCAAGGCTAATACGAGGTACGTGTCAATTCGCTCATCTCTATTGGTGGTCTGAGCCCCAGAAATGCAGACGCCGTGGGCCATTGGTACGATTTGTGGTGGGATCTGTCACATGATGTCACGCCCTCCAACCTATTTGGCTCATATCTCTAATGCGACAACGTTTGCACCTCAAGGTGGGCTTACGTGGGCCGGTGGTTGGGAGACAAGTCTGTCGAGGGCATTTTGTAAGCAGGGACATTCCAACTGATTGCACTTGTCCTGACGGTTGGTTTATATCGCGTGCATGGAGCCGATTCCAGTTCAGACAACCACTTCGAATGGCTACGACGCTGAGGGACCGTCGGAGCTTTTGAGCAGGATCTACCTCGATCGTCGACTTCGGACCTAAATCAAGAAGATTGTGGTAAATTTCCTAAATCGATAGCAAAAGCTGTGACGTAGTTGGTCACCAGATCAGCTTGGTGTAAAAAAAAACATGGGGCCTAGTCCAATTTGAATTAAGTTTGAGCATAGGCATGAGTCTACCATCGCCTACATTATGCATAACGAGAACATGACGGGGATTTCATTTGGCTGTAGAGCAGAGCGGCACAAACTTCACAAAAGCTGAACAAGTTAAAATACATTTGCTTGCATTCTTTAGAGCTGGAAATGATGATGAGAACAAAATGCAACCCATGATATAAGACGATCCATCGCCGTGCTGTTAATGTGCCAGGAATCAGGTGCCACATACATTTAGCTCGCAGTAGTCTTACAGTAATTGGTTATGATGTGGTGTGATTTTGAAATTATTTCAAGATGAAGCGAACTAGAGACGCAGATTAAAGAAATATGGACCTGCCATCACTATGCGTTTCTCTTTCTTATCATTTGTCGCCAGACAACGTCCGAACTGCAAAAGGGGGGTTCATGGTAGCCAAATTACACGGCGAAATGATTGGTTGGCGCAGTTGCGGAGTGCGACTGGGCGGCCTCATTGAAATCAAGGATGGAGAATGGACAGTGGCAGGCGTTTCTCCGGTCCAGCTAGTGCCCAGCTAAGTTTCTGCAGTCTTTCGTCTTAAAACCATCGAAAGAGGTAGTTCCTTTCTAGGTGGCGCCCACCACCTGTGGTCCACATTGGTACATACCTGAGGCCGTGGCCACGAGCCCAGGGCGAAATCCTTCAGGCCTTTCCCCGGTCTCGATAAGTCTGAAGCATTCCGGTGCTCTGTTCACACTGCGAAGCGAAACATAGCAGAAGAAAGCGTAAGCTGAGCTGATCTCTTGTTACTTTTCAGCCCACGCAGCTGACAGCGTTGTATTTTATAATGTTGAGGTAGCTTATGGGCAGCTTGACGTCATGACTGAATGCTGATGGCGCTGTCATTAAACCAGCTGTATCTAACGCTCACTCTGCATGGGTTGACATCGTGAAAATTACATTGACCTTGAACCATGCGCTATGTCACATTTACGGATGTTAAAACGACCGTCGGATGAACTTAATCCGGCGTTGTTTGTGCATGGTTGGCAACAACACAAGAGGCCGCAATCTGCATTACTTTGAGGACAGGTAATGAGGACACTACGCGCACAGGATTGGCTGTATCGTGTTTGTAGTCTGCAAACTGCCCGCAACTGCACGAGTGACTTTATTGCTAGAACATCATTTGTGACCCTGAATTGTCATTGATGCTGGTTGGCAGTGCCTTAGGTGCATGGACATTGCTTGGATATCACCTGTTGTGTGCATAATACCATATCCACTGTAGTTTAAAAGCAAAAGCAGCACTGGGTCAGGACGTAATGGTAGTAACATGGAGTTAGGTAGCTAATGTTTACAGAGGGGCGGCAGGCTGCAGGCTAGAATTTGGGAAAACTTTGATCTGTACTGCAGTCTTACAGGATCATTTGCAGTGCTGTTTGCTACGTCAGAGAAGGGACTTAATGTCAATACTCCTGTTTTTTTTTTTTTGTTGCGTCCGCTGTCTATGCAGTGGATTTTCGGTTTAATTAAGGAACAAACAGTTGTCCTGGGGTCACGGGAAGTCGCCAGATGTGATAGTTTCAGTCACGCACTGCACCAAGTAGCCTTGGAGCTGCGTCTGGAACATTCCACGATGACATTTCAAATAAGTTACGTGTTCCAAAAGGATCTTTGCACAAGATTATGGCTTGATCCAAGATCCCAACATATTTTTTTTAGCAAACATGTAGCACAGATCTAAGGTCACAAGACAAAAGCTTAGAGTAGATCCTGGATCAATCAAGACATTCCGAAAATAATCAAAATGTATCCTGAATCCCGGCAAATCCGAGATGCGGGACACAGGCATACGATCCCATAATCCATTTAAGGATTTAGGTACAAACCTGATTTTGACAAACATGACTGGCTCAGCTACGAATCCCAGTCAGGCGTTGTTGGTGGGGAATTGATTCCATTCCGATCCTGCCAGATTCCAGATTCCAGAAGTAATTCCGGACATGACTCAGACCCCATCTAGACTTGGGCACAGGTCTGCACTTACAGTCGCAGCAGTATCTCCGGGGCATTCCCGAACTCGGAACCTCAATGGCTGCCTTCGTGTTGTGCACAGCATGTCCATATTAGTCCAGCCATCTGAACGACTGTCATTGCGGCCCTTCTCCTCACAAACGCCATTTAGCGTGTCTCGCACGTCCCGTCGGACAAGTGTCCGTGTGCTGCGACCCCCTCGGGAGCCGCTGCAGCATTCGTTGTCAACCAAGCTGGGCCTTATTTTCAACTCTCGCGAGCATAAATATCGTTGGCGCTCTATCACAGCTGATTAGGCTCTGTTTGACAGCAAGCCATAACCAGTCGATACATGTTTGACACATTCGGGCACAACTTCACCACCAAGTGTGTATGTCTGTCTGTATCTCTCTTTTTCTTTCTTCCCCTGTATCTCTGCCTCTGTCCCTCTGTATTTCTGCCTCTTCCCCCCCCCCCCCCCCCCACTCGCTCTCCCTCCTTCCCTCACTTCCCGTCTTGGCCACCTCTCGAGTCCCGCCTTTCCCGCCGCGCATGGCCGGATGTCCGCCTCTCGCCCCCCCCCCCCCCCTCCCCCCGGCCGGACGCCTCTGTGTGTATGTGTGTGTGTGTGTGTGTGTACACCATGTACCGTGTACTGTGTGCTGTGTACTCTACAATCCGTTGCGACTGGCCGGCAAACAGCTGGCTGGCCGCGAGGTGCGGTGGCCGACCGCCACCCCCTTCCCCTCCCCCTCCCCCCGCCGGTGCCGCCCGTTCGCACCCCGGAAACGCGCAAACAGGGTGCGTCTCCTGGTACGTGCCAGCTGCGTGCCTAGTGCGTAAAATCAGCGAGGCGCGGTTCACAGGAGCGGATACGGTGTCGACCGCTGCCCTCGTGCTGTTTATAGTAAGCCCAGGAATACGGATGATCTCTCAATCTGACGGTTACTTGATGACGCTTGTAACTGCCACGACCATCGGGATCGGGATCTCCCTCGCCAGCGGAGCAGAAAGTTCAAACGCAGTCTGTAGCTGGCTGGAGGACGGCTTCGCACCATGACACCGGCACCTGCCGCCAGCAATATCGCCCCCCCTCTCCCCACTCCTCTCTGCGTCAACGGCGACTGCCGCAAGTCACCCGTGCTTGCAATGTTGCGCAGTTTGCCGTAGTGGTAATGCAATTGACAGCCTGGTATAAGCCTCTCTCTGATATTTTTCTAGCCGTGAACGCGTCATTCTTGCAACCAAGCGACCCTGTTTGTTTCCATGTCATTTGGCAGGGTGGACCTGAATGCCCCCACGGCTGGCGTGCCTACCTGCAGCTGGTGCACGTGCATATCACGTGCCTCAGTCATATTATTGACTCCAATACCTGCCAGACATAAACAGACCCCTTCCAGAGCCATTGGTTGCTTGGATTGAGCATTGCATTAATGTTAAAGCGGGTGACTGCAAAAGGGACGGTCACGTTACGTTTTGGCCACAGGCAAGCAAACACACATCTGAAACTTATGAGGAAGCGAGCATCCAGACGTAAATGCACAGGACCGCATCTTGTGACGGGACGAGACGTAATGCCGCCCGCCCATAACATAAGCCGCCGTGGATCAGCCGTCGCATTACGATGTGCATGCAGTCTGCGGCTCCGTGCGGTAGCAAACGATGCAATAATGCTATGCATAAATCTGTCCGGGCAGCTCTGTTTTGCCTGCGTGCTCAGGGACCGTGTCATCAATGCCACGGTACTTGTCATTTGTACTAGGCTGGCTCTCCGCTTAATGTGGTAGGTGGCTATCTCGCTCAGCGTGGCTTTGGTTGTTTGGATTAGAGCCCTTTTGACCAGAAATGATCATTTCAGGACTATGGGATAAAACAGAATGGATAATGGGGCAGGGCTGCATGCGCCTGGGTTTAACCGCCGAGTTTTAGCTCGCGCGTACGTCCCTCTGCGGGGTGTGCGCTGGGCACCCGGTGGGGGGTTTCCCTCCGTGGGCCTCTCGACCCGCTCGTGGCAGACGCATGCAGCCTGCCCCGGACAAGCGGGGCGTCCCGAAGATGCAGGATACGGCTAGAAAGAGGATAAGAGGGTCGGGTTACCCAGTGTTGCAGCATCTCGTGCTGCGCCACATCGTGTAGTAGCATCCCGGGCTGCGCCACCCAGTGTCGCAGTATATGGCTGCTGTGACGGCGCTGCGCCCAGCGCGGCAGCGGCCGCGGTTCAGACAGCGTGACAGTCGGTCCGGGCCGCCCAGAGGGCGCCGCCGGCCGCCGGACCGCGCCGGGCAGCCGTGGAGCCACTGCCGGCAGGTTTCGGCGGCGGTGGCGGCCGGGCGCTGGTGGCTGGTTTTAAGGAGTGCCGCGAGCCGCTGCGCTGTGTTCGGTACTCTAATATCACGTGAGTCTGCAGGCTGTGGCGGGCCGTCGCCCGGCCCGGTGCCCCCACCCCGGCGCTCCCCGCAGGGCTCACCAGGCCCTCCCCGACAACTGACATTAGGCGACAGCGCTGGACAGGATACGTTTTGTGAGCCTTACG